AGAGCTCCAGGACAGCAGCACAGCCGTGGTTCCAGGGCCAGGAAGGTCAAGGCCTCCTGTCTTTGGAGGAAGGAATCAGAGAGGGACTTGTAGAATCCCTACTTGAGGCCGGCTCTCGGTGAGAACCTGGTGAGGAGAGACACGTCTCCACACACATGCACACGCGTCCACGCACACATACATACTCGCACGCACGAGGCGGCATACGCACACATACATACTCGCACGCACGGAGGCGGCATACGCACACATACATACTCGCACGCACGAGGCGGCATACGCACACACACGGGGCCTCAGGAACATGCCTTAACCCCTTCCTCAGCCCAGCCCTGGCCTCCCTGGGCAGGGAGGGCTGCTCCCACCTCTCGCTGGCACAGGCTGTGGGGTCAGGACAAGGCCCCATGTAGCAGCCTCGGGAACAGAGCTGCCAGGCGTCACCATGGCGGGAATCAGGGAGAACGCTTTTCTGTTTGTCTTTTTTCTAGAAAAACCTGGCAGCCCTCTATCCTCTTTTCAGTGCATTTGGGGCCTGGCTGGAAGGCCCTTCCCATGAGTTTGCGAAGGTGGGAGGTGGCAGTGCCAACCCCAGGGCAGGATTTCTCCCCTGAAGAAGCCTCATCATGAGGGCTTGAGGCTTTGACCCGCCCTAGGGCTGGCCCACCTCCTGCCCTGTCCCTACTACCCATCCACTTCCCACCACATGCTCCTGCTCTGCTCTTAGATCCCAGCCAGGGTGCTGCCTCCAAGCTGGCTGCTCAGGCCACAGGCGCCCTTCTCGCCACTGCTGACCTTCTCTTGAGCACATAAGACAGGGGCCTGGGTAACGACCCATTTCTGGGCTGGGTTTGGGTCAACTTGGGGGCAGGGCTGCCCAGGGCCCAGGGCATCTTGGGGCACACAGTGGCACTCACTGGCTACACCAAGTGGAGGCCTGTTTCTCTAGGCGGGTGGGCTGGTGGGCCTTGCAGGGGTCCACAGAGCAGCGTTTGGAAACGCTTAGGTTCGTCCTTGTCCCAGAGAGTCAGAGCTGGTGGGCCTGGGGAGCAGCTGGCCGTGGGCCAGACCCTGGTCATGGCCCAGAGAGACCACTCTTCCTTGGGCCCGTACCCTGCTGACCAGCCTTGGCCTGCGCCCTGTGCAGATTTTCAGCCGGGCCCGGGGATCTGGGGGTTAACACAAGGCCCCGTTGCTGCTGGGCATTACATTTCATTAAAAACACACACACACACGCACACACACACACGCACACAACTCTGCAGGCAAAAAAGAGAAAAAAATGTTTTTTTCAGGTGCTAAAAATATTATCAGGAAATACTTTTCAGCAATGTGCTGTTTTAGGCTCCCCTCTGGACTCAAGGGCGCCTTTGTCTCTGCCACAGAAAATCCACATTTATCAAAACCAAAATTGTTTTATCAAGCAGGCTCATGTTCCGTGGCCAGGAAACCCGAGCCTCCCCAACCGGCCTGTGACATTTTAATTTAGGGCCTGAGTGTGTGTGCAATTTAGATGGGGTGCCCCGGGAGCTGCCCTCAGGATGCCCCAAGGCTCAGGGCTCCACGCAGGCGAAGGTGGGGAGTGCCTTCCTCAACCTGCACCTGGTCGGCTGGGCCTGTTTGTCTGGTCCTTACAGGGTAGGGGTGGGAGATCCCAGGGGGCTCAGGCCTGGGCTGCCAGGGGCAGGAGCTGGCTGGCTGTAGCCCACCCTAACTTTTTCTCCTTCTCTCCCAGAAGTGGCAGGTGGAGTGCAGGTCTCCTGCCCCAGAAGCCCCGATCCCAAGTAAACCTCTACATGCTATGGAATGAGGCCAGGAGGTCACAGAGGCCAAGGACCGCTCCACCTGCTCACCTGGTCACTGTCCTGTATGGACGGTTGGAGTCTTGGTGCAGTTGGCCCCCTGAGGGAGTGTGGGGGCCGCGCAGCCTGCCCTGCACCTCCTCTTCTCATGCACACGGAGCCGCGCACACGTTGACTCCCATGACGGGACTTCTGTGGTTGATCTTAAGGAAACGACGGGACTGGGGCTCAACACTTCCTTCCCAGGATGTTCACTGCTGCATGGGCTCAGGCATCGGCTCTCCCTATCCTGGGGGTGATGAGACCCTGCCTCCTGTTGGGAGCCTCGTCCATCTCCCGAGTGCCCAAGACAGGACAGAGCCCACAGGGCTCCAGGACGGCGGGGACAGCCAGCAGTGGAGGGGCACTCAGGCCCTGCAGCAACGAAACCTGCTCTGAGGCGTTTTTAGTGATTCTGGAAAACTCTAATGGTATCGTGTCAAGCAAAAGTTTTAAAAAATAGTACTCTGAGTAGCATCCATGCTATAGCCTCAACCGTCCTAAGCACACGTGTGCTAGAAAAAGCTGGGTGTCACCTCAGGGGCTCTGCAGGTCACAAATCATGGTGGTGGTTACATTCTTCTTTCTATGTTTCCCTGCTAACATTTTTTTTGCAATTAATTTGAAAAGTATGAATGTTTTGGAAGCCCAGATAAACAATGCTCTTGGTTCCAGCTGGCCCACTTCCTGCCCTGGCTTCAGCCAACCAAAGCTTGTGCTTCCCTCAACCTGGGGTGCTTCAGAGGGCTGGCCTGCCATGGGGTGCTGCCGTCTGTGTTCAACGTGGCCCCTCCTCCAGTGGCCCTCCCCAGGGGGCCTTCCTCTCCCATTTGTCCCCTCCCTGCGTTGGTCTGTATCCTCATCCTTGGATGCCTGCAGAGGGCTGCCCCCTGACCCAGGCACCTGAGGTCCTGTCAGAGCATCAGCTTCCTGGCCAGAGGCCAGACAGGACCCACCAACACCCCCTGCATGCCCCACATTCCTCAGCAAGCCTCAAGGGTGGCAGGAATCCGAAGGGATTTTGTGTTCTGTCTCAGACAGGAGCTGGGCCCCTGCCTTGTGTGGGGGAGGGTCTCCTGGCTTTCAGAAACCCTGGGCACATTTATCCCCTCTGCCCCCCGGAGAGGGCAGGCAGAGGAAGAGCCAGACTGTGGAGGCCTCCGAGGTCGCAAGTGTTATGTGTGGCTCCAGCTCCATGAGGTGGTTCTGGGGGTCCATCCCCTGCAGGGACAGGCCTGAGGGCCAGCTCCGAGTTTCCACCGACACCCAGACTCACTGTGGGTTCTAGAGGCAGACCCGGAGAGTTGCCCTCCCCTTGGGAGCACCACGGATCTGCGCCGCCTCCACCAGGCTGGCCTCAGGGGCTGCTCCCTCGAACACCCTGGCCCCGCTGGACCATGGCCGAGGCTGCTCTACAGGCTGGCGATGGCAGCAGGGAGATGGACATGGCACTCCCAGAGCCGTGGCTGTGGCAGGTGATAGTCCCTCCACCGTTAGCTGAGTCCTTCTGGCCTCAGCTTGGGTGATCCTTCACGGAGACACACCAGGGCCCTCTGGGGCTGGGATCACCCCACTTTATAGACAGGGAAACCAAAACCTAAAGAATCTGTCCAGGGTTGCACAGCTGGTGGGGGCACAGCTGGGACCCCCGTCCAGGCAGGCCTGGGCTGGCTGCAGGCTATGCATGGTGTTTTCCCCTCGACTCTGCGGCGGGCGTGGGAAGGGGTCCAGCCCCCTCTTCCCTTGGCCTTGCCTTCACGAAGGGGCAGGGGGACCCCAGCCTCTGGGGCATGTCCTCTGGTTAACGTGGGTTCTGCCTGCCCCTCACTGGGCCGATGGGCCTGGGGCGAGGCCAGTGGAGAGGGAGCCTTGACCCGGGCTGTCAGGTCCCTGGGCCTGACCCTCTCCTGACGACCTGGTGCAGAGTTGTCCCAAAGCAAGGCTTCCTCCTCATCTGCAAACCAGGTGCTCGAAGGGCTGCTGTGAGAACAGAGGGAGAGCTCTCCAAACCTCAGCACAGTTCTCAGTCATCATGAGACCCAAACACAAAGGCCCACACACGATCGCTGGACATGTTTAAGAACATGCCAACGTATTTCCACTAGAAAAATCCTCTTTTCCTAAATACAGGCCTTTAGGTTGAACAAGTTAAAATAGCATCTTCTATGCTGATTTAACTATTTGTTAAAATTCAAAATTCTGAGGCCCCCACGTGCATTTCAAATGTTCACCGTGAGCAGCCAGGGCAGGGAGGGTCCTGAAACTGCTGGAGAGCGAGCTGTCTAAATAGGGCTGCGGAGTGGGAGTCCCCCTCTCTGAGGAGACTGCGGATGGGGAGGGAAGGCAGGGAAGGGACATACCTACTAAGTGCCAGGCCCTAGCACCACACGCTGCCTCTCAGTGACCCTCTCCACCTGCCATCTGGCAGAGCGTTCTCCAGCAGTGGGGGCAGGCCTGCCTGCTGTCCTCCACCCGTGACTGGCCACGGCAGGGAGTGCCTATTAGGGCACCTGTGCCACCATTGACTCCTCCTTTGCCCACAGTAACCTCTGCTCATGGGTCACCAAGCTCTTCCCCTCAGAGCCCAGGCTGAACCTCAGAATCCTTCTCAACACAGCCCCCAACAATCAGGCAGAGGTGACGGACAGGAAGCAGCCTATTTGACCACCTCTCTTTAGCTATTGATTTTGCACAATTTACAGCATATGGTAACTCCATTACTAAGTCCACCAGAAAACCAGGTGTGCCAGGACAGACTATTTTAAGTCCCAGAGTGATCTTGAAATAGACACTGCTGCACATGGAGCTGCGGCTCACAGTAACTGTGATGCGGTGGGGGCCGGGAGCCTCTGGCCTTGCACCCCTAGGCCAGAGTCCTTGCGGCCGGGGCGGGAGGCCCCTGTGGTACATGCAGGGATTCACTGGGCTGGCTGGTGCCCCACAGATATCACAAATGACCACCTATAAAGCATGCGGCCCTTTGGAGAGGAGAACAAGTCACTCTGAGCAATGGTGATGGAGACGAGGAGCACAGATGGACACAGGTGGCCCATGCCATAGGCCCAAGATGGCCGCCTGGGTCTCCATAGCAACCCGGCCGGAATCCCGCAGGACCGTTCCCAGCACTTTCAGGCCAGGAACATGGGAGGCTCTGTAACAGCTTTAAGTGTTACACTCCCCTGCTTCTGGCGGCCAGTGAGTCACGGGGACTTGAATCTGAGTCACTTCCAGCCACCTGCCACCGTGACGGCCGCAGTTCCTGGATGCGGAGGCTCGCAGCCGCTGGGCGTGGGGATGTGGTGGCTGGCCTTACAGGACATTATGTTTTTGGCTCCAGTTGGTGGAAATGTTTTCCACGTGTTTTCCCGTGTTTACAGAGCTGAGGGCACGGAATGAAGCCGGGGAAGCCAGCCTGACAGGGCCTGGCCCCGGGGGTCTGGCCAGACCAGCTCCTCCAAAGTGGAAATGGAGCGCCAGGCGGGGGCAGGCTGTGAGGACGCCAGGCGGGGGTAGGGTGTGAGGATGCCCAAGCCCCTGCTCTCTGCCGGAGGGGAAGGGGCTGTCAGCGATGAACGACCCGCAGTGTGGTCCAGCACCAGCTGCAGGCCGAGTCCCCAGGGGCCAGAGGAGCTCTGTGGCCAATGGGCTCAGAGTGCGCCGCTGCCTGGGGACCCTGAGGAGTGAGTGTTAGCCCGGCTGGTGGCTACCTGCACCCTGTGCTTTCTGCTGGCATCGTGCCCACCCCATTTGAGCTTTGTCTCTCTTGTGCAGAGCACATGGCATTGGTTTTCCCAACAGTGGTTCCCCCAGCAGCCCAGCGCCTCCAGCACCTTCCCCAGGGCCCCCTGCAGGCCTGTCAGGGCTGAAGGCGGCTAGGCTGCTGGGTGGTGTGCAGCAGGCCTCACTGTCCTGTCTGGAAGGCCTGGTCGAGGTGGGCCTGTTGCCACCGCTGCATTTCCTGGTCCAATTGCTCCTTCAGGCCGGCCACCTGGGGACAGAACGGTGGCTTAGGTCAGGTGGGCAGGCTGCATGGCCAGGGCCCCAGGGCACAGAGGCATGGAGGGCTCTGTGACAGGAAGGGCTGGAGGCCACGGTCCACAGCTCCCGAGGAGAGGTGGCATGCCTGGGACAGAAACATCAAGCAGACATCAGACCGACTCCCTTGCTGCCAGAGGGATGTGCAGTTCTGCCTCTCACCACGGATGCCCACTCTGCCCACCTGTGGAGGCCTCAGGATTATGGCCACTGCGCACCCTGGGTGGATGGGCCTGCTTCTATTCAGGCCATGAAAGCGCTCAGAATGAGGCCAGGTGCAGTAGCTCACACCTGTAATCCCAGCACTCTGGGCAACCGAGGCGGGCCTTGGGCCTCAGGATCACCTGAGGTCAGGAGTTCAAGACCAGCCTGGCCAACATGGTGAAATCCCATCTCTACTAAAAATACAAAAAAATTAGCCAGGCATGGTGGTGGGTGCTTGCAATCCCAGCTACTCTGGAGGCTGAGGCAGGAGAATTGCTTGAACCCAGCAGGTAGAGGTTGCAGTGAGCTGAGATCGTGCCACTGCATACCAGCCCAGGCAACAGAGTGAGACTCCATCTCAAAAAAAAAGAAAAAAGGCACTCAGAATAAGGAAATAAATAAATGTCCTTTTGCTAATAAATTTAGCAAAAGTGCCCTGGTGGTCATGGGCCCTAACTTGGGGATGACACTGGGCAGTCAGGTCACCTCCTGGGCCTCAGTTTCCTCATCTGTAAAATGAACAGACAGCTCTAAGGTCCTGACAGCTCTGAGCTCCAAGTCTCCGTGGTTCAGCCCAGCAGGTCTGTCACGTGCACCTATGCATGTGTGGGTGTGCCGTGCACAACGCCTCACTGTGCCCACCTCATCCCCACATGTGCCACGCGTACCATTGTTTTCCCTTCGTGACTCTGAAGGACAGGTGCAGGGGCTGCCTCTGCTACAACCGTGTGTGCCAGGTGCTGTCTAAGCACCTCACACATAGCGACAGCTCAGTCTCCCAGTGACCCCTCACAGGAGCTGTCCTGCCTACCCCACTTTAGAGACAGGGCAATGGAGGCTCAGAGAGGGTGGTGACCTGCCCCAGAATCCACGCTCCACCTCCCAGTGACCTCACTGGGATATGAGGTAAACCTCGTGCCCTCGAGAGCAAAGAAGTGCAGGCAGTGCCCAGAGCGGGTCTGGAGCCCACTGGGTGGCAGTGGAGAGCCCCTGTTGCTAGAAGACTTCAAGAAGTCACCCCTACTGGGTGCTGCTGCGGGGATGCCAGTCCTCCCTCCCTCCCTCTGCCCTCACCCAGGAGGTTGGGGTCTCAACCTTACCTGCTCTTCCAGCATCTTCACCCGCTGCTGGTGGGTCCATTCTTGGGACTCCAGGGCCTGTGTGGCCTGTGACTGGTCCCCGTGCAGACGCTCTGCCTCTGTGGCCAGGTCCCGCTGGTGCTGGGCCGCCAGGTCCTGGAGCTGCTGGGTGTGGGCCTGCTCCATCTCCACCATCTGGGCCTGGAGTGAGAACTTGGGCGTCTCACTGCTGTCTCTCACCGAGGGCCACACAGAATCCCAGGGCGGGAGTGCCACAGGATGTTCCACCTCCCCTTGTGGGCCCCACTGTCCTCTGCCGGTGTTGACCCTGGCTAGGACTGCCCAGCAGACCTGGGGTTGGGTGCACATGTTCAGCCCACAGGCCTTGGGTTTGGCTTTGGCTGGGCTGGAGACTAAGCCGCAGCCTCCAGGGTGGGCCTAAAATCTGTTTTAATGGCATCCCAGGTTCCCTTTGTCTGGGCTGGGTGTCTGGAGGGCATCGAAGTTTGATTCTTGCCCATCCTGCCCCCATCCCCTGCTGGTCTCTGAGGATGGGGGTATGTCCAATGTGGACAGGGAGAATGAAGCCTCTGAGGCCCCTTCTGTGGGTGTCAGGCCCCTAGGCCTCAGGGGGTTCCCGCGCCCCAACACAAGCAGGCAGCAGCCTCTGGCCCTGTCCCGCAGGTCTCTCTGACCTCCCTCGTCTGACCCTTGTGCTGCTTTATAGAGCCCAGGCCTGGTTCCCATGGGGACTTCAATGTCTCAAGAAGGGCAGGAGCCTTGGGTCCTGGTTCCAGCTCTGCCTGGGGCCTTGATCTGAGTCTGTATCCATCACATGCACAAGCTGGTCCAGCCACCCTCCCCATGTGTGCACATGTGAGATGGAGGTACACCAGCCACCCCTCTGGAACTGACACCCTCCTGGATCCCACCCCAGGTCTGTTCCCAAGTCTGGGGTACGCAGAGCTCTGCTGGCCCAGTTGACCTGCAGCTGATGATTTTTGCCTCCGGACTCCATCCACCTCCTTGTGCAGGCTGTTCAGAGACTGGTCCAGCTGCTCCTTCTCAGCCCCCAGCCTCACCACATCCTCCTCCCTCTTCAGTGTCTCTTGCGCCGTCTGCAGAGAGCCCAGGAGGCAGAACCTGTGGCCTCGTGGCAGGAAGTGAGGTCAGGCCAGCCCTCCTCTGGGAGCACAGGGATGCCTCTGGGAAGGACTCTGAATTCCCCTAAGAGCTGGCAGGGTCAGGAAGGGCACTGCCCTGGGCCAGGAACCCCGGCCTCACCCAGGTCTATCTGACATCTGCAGCCAGAGTGACAGCTTAAGGAGGAGCATGGGGCCAAGTCCCCATCCAGCTACAGAGCAGCAGATGTCCTCATCAACATCCTTAATGGGGGACTCTCTACATCTCTTAAGGTGACATTCCAGGAGCTACCCCGCAAACGTCTTCTCAGTGTTCCTCCAAGCCTCATGAGCCATGATCCCCTGCACTCTCTGGCACTTGCCTTCTGCTGCTGGCACTCAGGATCTGCTGAGCTCGTACAGGCACAGGCATACTTGCTGTCTCAGTCCCAACAAGCCTGTGGCATTGGCAGCACCATCCCCACTGTCCGTCCTCCTTGTAGGCTGCAGGCTGCCCCCGTGAGCCCCCTCCTTAGTCACCCACTCCGCACCCCATCGGTACAGGTCAGGAAGGATAAGCTGTACGTTAAATATCAGGGAAGGCTACCCAGGAAACAGACATTTTCTGTGGGAAAGTCGGCAGGGAGCTTTTGTTCCCTTGCGAACAGGCCCTCTAGAGGAAAGGATTGGATCTAAGAGTTCTCTCTTACAGAGAGCAGCACTAGGCAAGGAACACCGTCCACCAGCCCCAGACAGCCTGCTTCCAGCGCCCCCAGATGGCCTGGGGCATGCCTCATGGGTGGCTGGTGTGGATGGGATCCCATGATGTCAGAGGCTTATTGGGCCAGGCAGGCGCTAAGGCAGGCTTGGAACCCATTACCCTGCTCTCCAAACCAGGCTGCCTCTGGGCTCTGCTGTGCCCAGCCCCGAGAGTCATGCCTGCTGGGGCTGTGTCCACAGGGGCGACAGTCTTGGGCTGGAATGCCAGGTCAGTCCTCTGTCGGCCCCACTGCCCTCTCCTGGGTGCTGGGCCTGGCCCAGGATTGGGCAGCAGACCTGGGGCTCAGTGCACACACTCGGCACACCACAAACCTGCCCTCTCGGCTTCAGGGCTGGAGCAGGCCTGGTTCCGGGCCCTGAGACAGAGGGGATAATTCGCGTGGGTAAAGTGAGTTACGGGGTCAGTGGTTGGAACTGCACAAAGAATAAGGGTTCCTTTCTTCTTCAGGACTGAGAAAAACAGAGTCCCCCTGCACTGAAAAAGGAAGTCCTGTTTCTTTAAAAATCCAGTTACACTCCTGGAAGTGCATGTTATAAAGAGAAGAGAAAAGTGAAATCCAAAATAAATAAACGGCCACATCCGGGTTTCCCCTCCTGAGACACCAATAAAGGGTTTATGGGTTTGTGGGCCCCTCACAGCTGACCTCCTGGAACTCATTAGCTGTTCCTTCCCTCCCCCTCCTCGGGCTCCAGGGACTCACGGCGGGCACTGTGCCCACAGCTGGCTCTGCGTCCCCGGGCAGTGCTGTCGCAACCAGGGCTGATGCAAGCCCCTGCTCCCCCACCCCCAGCAGCGTCCATGGGAGGCCCCAACACCCTGGCTCCATGGCCCAGGGCTGGGCCCCCTTCA